AATTTAGAAGAATTATTTCACAATATTCGAGTGGGTTGGCTTAGAAACTTGAGTTAACTTGACACATATTGATGCAGTTCGTAGGAAGCTGAAAACCAAATGAATCAACTATATTTAAGCTATAAAGAATTCCAATTTCGGTAGATATTATCTACCTATCATTCAGAAAAGAAAAACAAGTTATGCAAAAATGTATTGTGTTTTGGTCACTTAAAGTCGATTTTGGTATTTGACCTTGAGCATTTTAGCGCAGTGGCATTTTGTAGAAATGTGGCTGCCAATGACTTTGTTAAGCTGATATTAATAATTAATTCAGGTGTAGACTGATGATGTAATAATCTAATTACAGTTCATGTTTAATTATTTAAATGTTGAATGTTTTTATTGAGCGGTTTAAAGTGTAGGTAGAGAAATGCAAATTGTTAAATGAATTTAATGTTTAAAATAATATTGTCGGTAATTCAAAGGGATTTTATTGACAAATTAGTATCAAAAACTAACTAGATACCGGTAGTCTATTGACCTTAGTTAACTATATAGATTAGTAATGTAATCAAGTTATTAAATTAGAACAACTTAAGTAGCAAACAGTTACACAAATTAATTTAAACAAAGATACAATCTTCACTTCAGCCAAAAATCGATTAACCAAATAAAATAGCTACCATTTAGATCGCAGCAAAGATTATATAGAAACAATTACTTTCCAGCTTGTACTATGCAAATATCTGATGTATTATGGACGGGGTAAAATGGTCTTTAATACTCAGACATAAAGGTCATTGTCCTATCTGAATAAGGTGTGCTACCAGCCACTCCAATGTTTGTCTGATGATTCATGCATTAATTATGTATATGATGTCAATAGTTTCTTATAGACATTGCTAAGTTTCTTTAAGGCGTTTCCTGAATACAAAAATGTAGGAAAATGTTATGGTATTTTCTGTAGACCTTCTTAGTGACCTTTTTGCAATTGTCTATCAATACCCAAGAAAATGTGCTCACCTATTACCAATTTATATTTGCCAATAACATCACAACAATGATAATTCGTCGAGATGACGGAGGCAGAAAGAACCATACACACACATACATGACTTCACATCTGTCTCCCATGGGGTAAGCAGAGACGTGTGTATTATATACCTTAAATACTTACCTATATTCCGAACAAATAAATAAATATGTAAAAAAAATGTTAACCAAAATGTAATTTATAATAAGCTAGTGACACCCTTAAAATTTACAACGCCTGAAAAAGGCCGTTAAGCTGTGCCTGTTATTTCATAAGACCTGTATGTGTGTTGGGAATTGTTATGTAATTTCATATAATTGGGTTATGTACAGCTGTAAATGGACTTCAGGTTCTCTCACTATTTATAATTAAGATTGTTGTGTACGATTTCAATCTGTCGTCTGTACTTATGTAAAATAAATAAATAAATACCTTAACATGCAAATAAAGAGTTTGAATTTGAGACTATGAGGCGTTCCAACGCCTACCAATGGCTACGATTCTTAGATACATCTTTCACTTCCTCTACAGTCATCAGTCTTTTCATGCATGCTCGTCAGTTAAGGGTAGTTTTATGCAGAAGGTAGCATACATGTTAATACATCTATTTGCTACTACTAATATTAATTCTATTATGTATGTGAATAGTCAAGTCAGTCAAGACATGCGGATTTGATTTCTGTGTCAAACTATACTGTATGGTAAATCTACACATAAAAACATAACTTCACGCCTGTCTCCCATGGGGGTAGGCAGAGACTAAGGAACGCCAATTACTACGATTCTTACATACCTCTTTCGCTTCATTAACAGTCATCAATCTTTTCATGCATGCTCGTCGGTTAAGGGTACTTTTAATTTGGCCCTTCTTTAATATATCGCCAATCTGGTCACTATATGTCCGTCTAGGGCGCCCTCTACCGACGGCTCCATTCATATCCGCTCTGTATACTTCTTTCGTTACTCTACTTTCATCCATCCTTTCTACATGTCCAAACCAGCGTAACATTCCCTTTTCAATCCTTGTCACTACATCGTCTTTCAATCCACACCTCTCTCTAATAACACTATTTTTCACTCGATCACTCAATTTTAGTCCACACATACTTCTCAGGGCTCTCATTTCCACCGCATTAATCCTGCTTTCATGCTTCTTCTGCCACACCCATGATTCACTACCATACATAAGCGTTGGTGTCAATACACACTGCATTACAGCAAGTCGAGCTTTGCTGGATATTATTTTACTCGACATTACAGAGTGTAAAGCACCATTAACACTATTTCCCGCTTTCACTCTCCTTTCAATATCCCCGTCACACTTTCATTTTTATGGTAAATCTGAAACTAGTAATTCAACAATAAAACAGCTTATGGGTTTAAGATTTATAAAATGTACGACATTATCTACATTATTGTTTAATATAGGGAAATGTGTCTAAAATATTGTTTATTTCCTTTCAGTGTTATAGGAAAAACTACCTAAATAAGATTTATTTATTTATTCTTTTTCCCATAAGGATATTTTTATTTTGACGGGTATTTACTGCATTTGTCCTATGAAATATAAAGTAACAATCAAAATCCTATGCCAGTTTTAGAATGGTTAAGTAATTATGATATCAGATTTTTTCAGTCAAATTAACTTGCTTAGCACAGCTGTTCATACATTTATTTATATAGTATTAGTATTTAGTCAAAAATACATGACAGAATAATTTACTTCTTAATTTCATAGAAATAAGTTTGAAATTCGAAGTACCTATGTGTTTAGATATGTACAGGTACCCAACACACACAAATTGAAAAAGTAATAATTTAAGCTTTTCAATAAAATTCACCATTACTTAAAATACTTATTGAAAATTACCTGCGGGCACAATGTTACATCATAAACACATCCCTCTGCCTACCCCGTCAGTAAAAAAAGGGTGTGACGATATGTTATATTAATATTGACAAATAGTAACACTATGACACACAGATATCGTGAAGGATTATGAATATTAATTCAAAATTTACATTCAAGTAAATACTAATTTGGACATAGGTATATGGCACTTACTCCTACACTGAATAATTTAATATGAAACATGTAATTAAGTGGGTTTTGAGTGTGTGTTGCAAGTTATTGCTACTTGGGATTGATGGATCATCATTAGGTATTATCTTCATGTTAACTACAAGATATTCACTGCAAGACGAATGATTATTTAATGATTTTCAGATCGACTGGTTGTAAGCAACCTATTATATCTAACAGCAGGAGCAAGGATGCAATCATATATTATGTTCAATTGATGTTTTGCTATGAATAACTGCCTTGTTGGAAGAGTGGTCGCAAGTGCGACTGCGGGGCAAAGGGTCTCAGATTCAATTCCCAAGTTGGGCAAAGTGTTACTAAGTTTTTTACATTCTCAGTAGTAGCAGGGAGTCTGGGGTTGCGCCCGGTATATGGTAATGGGCTATATTACATGGGTCTCATAACATAAATAGTGAAAAGTGGGTGTTACATTGTACAGTGGCAATAAGCGCCATAATGTACACCTCTTGGATAAAAGATGTGATGTTATGTTATGTTGGTATGATTAATTACTGTATTGCACTGGATTTTTGGAACTAAACAAAATGATTGGCACTGGGATACCACAAGGTAGATTAAAGACTTGATTAAATAAGTTACCTATAACAAAAATCACAACATTTGGACAATTAGCTACTTGGATAAGTCTGGATATATTAAATTAAATGTCTAACCAACCATAATATTTTAGGTGTAATTAACAATTAACCAGGAAAAAATAGTATAAGGATAAATCTAGTTCAATCAAGTCATAAAACTCACGACTACTTATAAACATAACACCTTTTGTTCCCCGGAGGGTCAGACAGAGGAGAATAAATAAAATTTAACATCATTCACTAGTTATAGGAGGACTCCTATATAATAGGCGACAAGTCTACAGGAATATTTTACTGTATCTAATAAGAATTAAACACATGTCAGGTATAGTGTCAAGGTTGTAAAATATATTTAGACTTGTTAGGAATCATGAAATGGCTAAAGTTTTGGACTTTTTAAGAATTACAATACAAGAACTACTTTAAGGTGGTTAATTACATGGCTAATGCTTTGATACAACTGCAGTCAAGCTCAAATGAAAGTCAACATGTTGTACCAATCAAACCCTTCACATTATCATTAAAAACTATATCTGTTGCTGCATTAACCAATAACACTAGCTCTACCTGCGCACAATATCACATTGATAAGTCAGTCTGCAATCCCCTGTTATCCAACAAGTATAAATTATCAGTATCAACGCGCTTATTGCGGTAATACCTGCCAGAAACTTATCTTTTATCAGTTAAACTCTATGGACAATTTCCCTGAAGTTGTTATGATGAAAATACTTCATTTCCAATGCAATTCAAACTTATTACGTACAGATACAGCTGTGATAAGATAAATGAGTAGAAAGTTACCTGCAATGTACGTGTAAAATATGTATTACACGGCTAAACCTCCGCCGTACTAATCATATAATGTGACTCAAATTACACATCATACAAACAACGTATCATTACATTTACGTCATTCACCGGGAATTTCACATGAAACGACCGGCTGAAACTAAATTAATACACCCAAATAACGGTAAAATAAAGCAACATAACAAAAACCAAGTTATGTGCGACACTGTGACATTACGGAGGCCTAACGTTTTTAGAGACATTCTCGGCCAACTATTACCGTCTGGCGAGCGTTTTTCTAATTATAGAACATACCACGACGTGAAAAAGACGTCCAAATATAGGTAAAAAACAAAACACACAGTTGTGAGGATAGTATCACACTTCGGACATTCTCGAAAGCGGTACACGAGCCCACTACGTGGGGCCACGACACGATTTAGGGTTAGACAATTTTTCAATCACATTTTAACACTAGAACAACACATTTCAACTATAATTGCACATATACCTTTACTTTCAGCGGTTTCGGTAATATCTTTCACGTCATCAACCATCTTGCTGGATGACAGTCACTCACTACACACTTTTTATTCGAACATATTTCGAAAACTCATACTTTGGTTCACTATTTTCAGCCAGCCAGCCAGCGAGCGATCTATACGACGACACTTCGTTCCGTTCACTGCCAACGACGACGTAAGACGTAAGCGATGGCGAACAACCTTCACACCGTTTGTTGAATTTTATATCGATGGCGTCATCGGCTTTAGTAGTTCTTTTATTTAAATACGCTAAATGTGTATTATTGTATTAATTGGAAATTTATTTAAATATCAGCTGATTTTCTAATTCAAGTTTCGATTTAGGCATAACGATTGTTTTTCCTAGTCATATTTACAAAAAAAAAGTAAAGGAGGCGGATGATATTCTCGCAACACAGAAGAATTATAAATATAAACTTGATAGAAATATTTATAATAACAAATTTAATCGACCATTAATATACCATTTTTATTAAAGGCTTTTTGAAAACATTATCGTATTCTGAGTTCATTAGTATCATAATCGAGAATATCAGTTTCAGACAGTGCCATCTAGCAACAAGTGTAAGAACTAATTCTTACAGCGCCATCTATACGTGAATGTGTTCACTAATCTAGTCTTTTAATCAAATAACAGATGGCAGCATTATCGTTCAAAAATATTATTTTAAATCTCAGTTTTTGTTGGTCATGATTGTAACTCAATAAAGAGGCACTTTCCAAATAGTAAAGTTATTATTCAAATATTACTTAAGTAGGTAAGTAGATAAAATGACTAAAATTCCACTCACATTAAAATTCTTCATCAAAACCATTTATGTACTTATTTCTTTAACTAATTAATAAGATTACTACATAGGAGTCGCGGAGAACCTAACGGGTTACCGGGGCTTCGGCTCGACGTGCAGGAGAAGGAACAGGGTGGTTTTTAGTCATTCGACATAGAGTCTCTGACACTCCCTCCGGCCTCACCCAGGCGGGAGCAGTCATGCGATGATTTCCCCCCCTAAAAAAAACTACATAGGTAACCTACTAATACTAACATAACTAACTAAACAAAAATTATTGGTGTTACAAGCGTAACGAACCTTAGTTACTTAAGTAGGTACCTACCTACAATAAGCAATCACTGCGTGTGTTTGCACATTGTCTGCGAAGGTTATAAGTACTTGACACAATTTAAATTTCAAATGCCTGTTCCCGAACGAATTACCTTTAGAAAATTAGTTACCTTATTCTAAATAGCCAAGAAGACACCGGAGTCCTCTCTCACCCCACCAATTATAGACCTAATTACTCCCGTTTTAGAGACTACTTTTGTATGAACTTTGGTTACAGGATGCAAACTTGATGTAGATGAGTTAATGCAGTTACCTACATAGTTCATCAATTGGGTTTTTTTTTAAGGGGGGAAAATCATCGAATGACTGCTCCCGTCTGGGTGAGGCGGGAGGGAGTGTCAGACTCTTACTGACTAAAAACCACCCCGTTCCTTCTCCTGCACGTCGAGCCGGAGCCCCGGTTACCCGTTAGGTTCTTCGCGACTCATCAAGTGGGTAGAGTTGCAAGTTCGATTCCCTGGGCGAACAAAGTGGAAATATTATTTTGGGTACTTATTTGATTTAAAAAACCAGAAGAGTTACAAGTTCGTGGCCAGCCTTATAGGGTTTAGAGATTTAGTGGATTGGAAGATTGACCAGATTAAAACTTCACACAACGAAACAGCGCAAGAGTTGTTTCACGTCGGTTTTCTGTGAGGCCGTGGTATCACTTCATTGACTGAAGTCAGTCGAGCCGTCCCATTCGTGTCGCGTTGATGAAGCGTGGCTGAAAGCATGTGTCGTTCGATTTTCAATAAAAACCGTTGATTCATTCACAAAATGTTTACAATGTATTTTGCTGGTTGTGGACCATGTCTGCCGCATGACAGACGAGTGGTGGGTAAAATTCACTAGTCACTATTGAGTGGAGCCCGCTCAACGTCAACAGACGTCACGGCAAGCCCAAAAGTAGATGGCGGGGCAAACGACGATCATGTATGGCAAGGATTAGCCGCAAAAAGCTTTACAAAGAGTCGAGTGGAAGGAGTGTAGGGAGGCCTTTGCCCTGCAGGGGAACGATCATGGCTGAAAATAAATAATAAATACAAACGCGACGAGTTTACCCTAATACGGTAGTTTAAAGGTAGTCTAATTCAATACCTTTATTGAATTGTCAAAAACGATACTTTTCTATGAATTTTGTATTGGATCACAACTTATGACGTCCTCATATTTCTGCGTCAAATAGCTTACTTGTATACATAGGTACCTTAAAATTTGCGAGAACAAATCCAAAAGTAGGTCAATTGTCAAATCAATGGATGAGAGTATGATTATTTTTTAATTATTAGGGCCAATTGTATTACCTAGTATAAGACAATTTGACTAGCGGTAAAAATCTTTGATTGTTTATAAGTAGGTAACGGCACGGTCAAGCATGCATTCGATTATCTAGTTGAATCTTACAGAAGTACAGAACCCGTGGGAAGGGTACCTAATTATTACTGTCCATTTGCAACGGATCTCTCTTCGACACCCGTTCAACTCCGCTACCATCCGTTGACAAACAAAAACATTGACCAGGCCATTTAGCGTGCAATGCGCATGTGCAATGGGTGACAGGTGACCAAACCGAATAACCGATAGGTCAAGAACATTTTATTTTATTAGTAAATGTACCCACTGTACGAGTGTATTCGTTGACTTTGACACACATTGGACACGCAACAATAAAGTTTAAATTACACAGAGTAGGTATTGTAATTAATGTTTGTGGAAAATAATTTTCTGCCACCTATTACTTATTTATCAGGGTAGAGGTGAAGTAAGTTCAGACATTAAAAATCATTAAATTTTAATGATTATGTTTAGCTACCTACTTAAAGTATTCCTTAGTACCGATTTTATTCCGAAAACAATAGGCTATTCTCCAAATTTTAGATTTTTTTTAAATGTTCGTATATATCTGATTATCAAGTAAGTATAATCCGAAAAAAAACAATCAAAAATTTGTCGTAAAATATACGCGCCAAAACACGGACCGCCATTTTAGTGACATCAATAGTACGAAAATATTGAAACGTCAAATGGCCAAGTCTTACATTTTGTAAACAAGTTGGTTGCGTTGTGATTTTAATTGTATTTATAACATATTTACGTTTTTCTATTATTATCTAACTAGCGACCCGCCCCGACTTCGCACGGGTGCAATATGTATGTAATTGTAATATACATATAAACCATAATTAAGAATCATTCTATCTATTTAAAAAAATCACATCAAAATCCGTAGCGTTTTTTTAAAGATCTAACCATACATATGGACAAACAGACGGCGGATAGCGACTTTGATTTTACCGACTTCATATACTATTTAGTGGTAGTAAAAAACATGGAAAAGAGATTAAGTAGATACTTACGTTTAAAATTTTTACTAAACACTAATCAAAAATGGAGAAAGTGTACCTAGACAGTACCTACCTATTAAACAACTAATGACATCACCTAGTTACCTCATAAGACGCGTAAGACGTAAACAGAGACACCGTGAAGATCTTACGTTTAAATTAAATTAATCAGAGCACTCGTAACTTTAAAAATACTTGTAGAAAGTGTGATAACAACCACTATCCGCACATACGCTTTTACGCTTACAAATTATAACCCGAACAAATTAGCACGTCATTCAATTAATAAACGCGCTTGTTAATTTCGTCAGTTTTCTATTTAGTCGGGTTATACGGGTCGTTTACTTCACCGGTTCGCACACCTGTTTCACTGGCCAGGCATGCGCAGTTAGCGCTTGACTTTCGAACGTGATTCGACGCGCGCATTTAAAAAGTCCGCAGTCACAATTTTGGCGGCATTTTCCGTAAATCATAAACGACATTTTTTATTTTTATTTGTGTTTTTAGTGGAAGTGAACAAAATGGGTGTGTAGTAAATTGATTGTTTATCAAAATATTACGTTTGAATTGTAGTAATGCAGTGAATTACCTAGTGTTTTAGTGAAAGTGTAAGGATTTGAATTTTAAAAAGTTACAATGAAGTCTACGTTTTTATTTGGCGGATGCCTGCTATTATTGGCTGTTTTAATAGGTAAGTCCAAAATAAATAATACACGGAGCAAGACTTTCTAATGTCGCTAAAATACCTATACCAATTTTTTTCTGTAAGTAAACAATTAGGTATTTAACCTAAGATTAATAAAAATAATCCTATAATAATTAAGTATGCGGTAATCGCAGCAGCCGGAATACTTGAGTTTATGATTTAATTTGTGTAATTTTTACCATTACCGTGAAAATTACGACTGTGACCTACTTTTCAAAGGTAATCTGCTGACTTTATGAATTTTATGTAAATATTTTACCTACATAAGAACCGGTGAGAGGTCTGAGGTAGTGGTTCCCAAAAATAATATAGATAGGTAATTCGAAACAGATTTTAGTCTAAATAGGTAATACCTACACTATATTTTTACAATTTAAAATTATACTAATAGGTACATAACATAGTCTGTATAATGTATAATATGTAATCTAATGTGTACTAATACAGGTAGGTACACATTTATTTTACCTATCAATAATTACCAAAGCCGCGGAGAACATAACGGGCTGCCAAGGCTCCGGCTCGAAGTGCAGGAGTAGGAACGGGGTGGTTTTTAGTCAGTAAGAGTCTGACACTCCTGCCTCACCTAGGCGGAAGAAGTCATTCGAGGATTAACCACGCTTAAAAAAAATAAAAAAATATACCTATACTTATAATAGGCAAAAGGCATAAGGACATGTAACCCATAAAACATCAACCATTGACGTATAGGTAAATAATAATAATATGTAGGTACGTAGAGGTGCGTAGGATACTAATAAACGTTCTTACTTCAGCACTTTCTTTAATTTTCTCTTTTAGCATTCAGTTTAAAACTACATACTTTCAATTCAATTGCTTTCAATACGACCTTAAACT